GGGGCTGGGGTGGGACCATCCAGGGATCCTGCGCCCGGGACAGGAGGGGGATCCGCATCCGGAATATCCTGGAAAAGGTGGGAATGACCCCGGGGATTATCCTGGGAATTCTCCTGGGAATTCTCCTGGGAATGATGGGAATTATCCTGGGAATTCTCCTGGGAATGATGGGAATTATCCCGGGAATTCTCCTGGAAAAGGTGGGAATGATCCCGGGAATTCTCCTGGGAATTCTCCTGGGAATGATGGGAATTATCCCGGGAATTATCCTGGAAAAGGTGGGAATGATCCTGGGAATTCCCCTGGGAATTCTCCTGGGAATGATGGGAATTATCCCGGGAATTCTCCTGGAAAAGGTGGGAATGATCCTGGGAATTCTCCTGGGAATTTTCCTGGGAATGATCCTGGGAATTCTCCTGGGAATGATGGGAATGATCCCGGGAATTCTCCTGGGAATTCTCCTGGGAATGATGGGAATTATCCCGGGAATTCTCCTGGAAAAGGTGGGAATGATCCCGGGAATTCTCCTGGGAATTCTCCTGGGAATGATGGGAATTATCCCGGGAATTCTCCTGGAAAAGGTGGGAATGACCCCGGGAATTCTCCTGGGAATTCTCCTGGGAATGATGGGAATGATCCCAGGAATTATCCTGGAAAAGGTGGGAATGATCCTGGGAATTCTCCTGGGAATGATGGGAATGATCCCGGGAATTCCCCTGGGAATTCTCCTGGGGGGTTAATTAATTGGGGGATTAATTGGAGGGGCTGGGGTGGGACCATCCAGGGATCCTGTGCCAGGGACAGGAGAGGGATCCGCATCCGGAATATCCTGGAAAAGGTGAGGAATTCTGGGAATTCCCAACCGCCAAATCCCAATTTCCAACATTTCCCAGTCCCTGGAGCAGCTGGAATTGTGGGACCTGCAGGATGGGATGGGATGGGATGGGATGGGATGGGATGGGATGGGATGGGATGGGATGGGATGGGATGGGATGGGATCCCAACCCTCTAATCCCAAATTTCACACCCCCTGGCAGGTCCAGAACATCTCCCAGTCCCTGGAGCAGCTGGAATTGTGGGACCTGCGGGATGGGATGGGATGGGATGGGATGGGATCCCAATCCTCTAATCCCAGTTTTCCCACCCCATGACAGGTCCAGAACATCTCCCAGTCCCTGGAGCAGCTGGAATTCCTGCAGGACCTGCAGAATGGGATGGGATGGGATGGGATGGGATGGGATGGGATGGGATGGGATGGGATGGGATGGGATCCTCTAATCCCAAATTT